ACAATTAATGAAACCTTGATTCTGGTGACATACGGCATTGTAATTATCATTAAATTACCACTAAAGAGATATGACTATAAAATAATAGAGATTGCTCCCAAGAGCTGTGGACAGCAAGTAGCTTTCTTATCTAATAATAGCTTGCCACAGATTTTCCCAACTAGGAGACTCCCCCAGGAGCCTCTGCACCATGGCTGAGAGGGATGAACGTCACCCTGTGGTCCTGACAAACTTTCTGTAGATCTGTGTTATTTTAGGCAAACCCAGGGTGCAAATATCTAGGTTCCTGTTTGAAAATTAATGACTAGGTGACACTTCAAAAGAGAAGAGCATTACAAAAGTATCCAAAGCAGTATTTCTCAATATGTTTTATTGTCCCGCAGACTGGCAACAAGCCTTTCTAGGCAATTTGGTCCTGATCAATGAAATTTTAATGTTAAAGATATATCGGATATCAATTTATGCATTATTTCTATATCTCTGCTTCATACATAAAAAGATGCATGAAAAGAGTTCTATGCTAGACCTAGGTGGCACACACCTGTACTCCCAGTGACTCGGGAAGCTGGAACAATAGGATTACAAGTACAAGGCCAGCCTCAACAACTCAGCAAGGCCCTAAGCAACTTGGTGAGACACTGTCTCAAAATAAAAATAAAAGGATGTAGCTTGGTGGTAAAGTGCCCCTGGATTTAATCCCCAGTGCCAAAACTGCAACAACAACAACAACAAAAGAATACTATAGCTATTCTGAGTCTCTTATTTTTCCAGATGAATTTCATGATTGTTTTTTCTATTTCTATGAGGAATTTCATTGGAATTTTGATTGAAATTGCATTCAATCTGTATAGTGCTTTTGGAAATAGGGTCATTTTGATAATATTAATTCTGACTATCCAAGAACAAGGAGAACTTTCCATCTTCTAAGGTCTTCTTTGATTTATTTCTTTAGGGTTCTGTAATTTTCATTATGTAGATCTTTAACCTCTTTCATTAAGTTGATTCCCAAGTATTTAATTTTATTCGGGCTATTGTAAATGGGGTAGTTTTCCTTGTTTCCCTTTCTGAGGATTTGTCACTGATATACAGACATGCCTTTGATTTATGGGTGTTGATTTTATATCTTGCTACTCTCTGAATTCATTTACTAGTTTTAGAACTTTTCTGATGGAATTTTTAGGATCTTCTAGGTATAGAATCATATCATCAGCAAATAGTGAAAATTGGAGTTCTTCTTTTCCTATGTGTATACCCAGAATAGCTAAAGCAATCCTCAGCAGAAAGAGTAAAGAAGGTGGCATCACTATACCAGATCTTAAACTATACTACAGAGCATAGTGACAATCTGTATTTCAGATCATTTCATCCATCCAAAAAGAAGCTCCAAATCCTTCAGCTGTCACTCCCCTATTCCTCCTGTCCTGGTGCCTTTCAGCCACCAATCTCTCTTGTCTACCTAATTTGCCTATTTTACACATTTCACATAAATGGAGTCATATAATATATACCTTTTGCGACTGGTTTCTTTCACTCAGCATATTTTGCAACTTCATCCATGTCTTAGCAAATAATAGTTCTTTCCTTGTTATGGTGGAATGATACTATTCCATTGTATATTACATTTTATCTGTTCATCAATTTGTGATTATTTGGGTTGTTTTTACTTTTTGCTCTTGTAGTAATAGGGCTATAAAGATTCATATACCAGTGTTTTGGTTTGTTTTGTACTGGGAGTGGAACCCATGGTGTTTTTACCACTGAGCTACATCCCTAGTGCTAGTTTTTTTTTTTTTTTCAATTCTTGAGACAGAGTCTGGCTGGGCTGACTTGCTTGAGGTCTAAGTTGCTGAGGCTGGCCTTGAACTTATGATCCTGTCTCAGCCTCCCAAGTCACTGGGATGACAGGCACACACCACCACACCCAACTAATGTACCAGTTATATGTACATGTTTTCATTTCTCTTGGATGTTGCTAGCTTCTTTGGTAACTCTGACACTTTGAAGAGCTGCCAGATTCTTTTGCAAGGCAAATGCACTGTTTTATATTGTCATCAGCGGTGAATAATGATTCTACTTTCTCTACATCCTTTCCCTCTCTCTCTCTCTCTCTCTCTCTCTCTCTCTCTCTCTCTCTCTCTTTATATATATATTTAAGTAGCCATTCCATTGAGTTTGAAGTGGTATCTCATTATTTTGATTTGCATTTCATGATGGCTAACAATATTTAGCATCTTTTCATGTGCTTATTGGTCATTTGTAGATCTTTGGAAAAGTATCAATTCTACTGTTTTATCCATTCTTAATTAGGTTGTTTATTTGTCAGTTGTAAAAATTCTTTGTGTTCTAGGCACAAGTTCTTTCTCAGTTTTAGCTCTATATTTAGGCCTTTGATGTATTTTATGTCAATTTTTAAAATATGGCATCAAGTTAAGGTCCAACTTTAACAATTTAGTGTGTACTTTAATAATTTTTACAATTTGTTGGAAAGACCATTCCTCTCTTAAATGATTTTACTGTCCTCATAGATAATTGGCTCACAGTAAATGTGAGGGTTTATTTCTGAACTTTCAGTTCTGTTCCTTCCATTAATTTCCCTGTCTGCCCACATGTTAGTCCTGCACTCTCTTGACTATTGTTGCTCTATAATAAGCTGTGAAATTGGGGAGTGTGAGTCTTCCAACTTTACTCTTCTTTTTAAAGATTATTTGGCTCTTTGGGGTTCCTTGAATTTCCATATGAAATTTAGAATTAGTTTCTACAAAGAAAGTACCTGGGATTTGGAAAGGAATTCTGCTGAATACCTAGATCAGCTTGGGGAGAATGGACATCTTAACAATATTAAGTCTTCTGATCCATGAACATGGGGTGCATGGCTCCTCTTGAGGTCAGAAACTTACCATGCTTTCTCTGTGTCTGTGTCTGTGTCTTTTCTTTCAGAAACACAAGCACCAAAAGCGCCAGTAAGTTGACAAGTCTGGTGGAGGGGAGGGGAAGAGCAGGCAGAAACACCAAAGGTGCAAAATCCAGTGGCTTCAGGGCCAGGCAGGTTATGCAGCCAGCTAGTGGGATCCACAGAGAGTGGTGGGGACTGCCAGATGGAGAGACCTTTTTTTTTGAGGCTCTCCAATTCTGACTGGCATAGAGCGTCTCCAGCCACTGTGAGGGGAGGGAGAGCAGCATGCATCTGCTCATGCTTCTCAGTGGCCATCTAACATTTAGACATCTTTCTTGACCAGCCTCCTCCCTCTGAGAGCTTCAGGACAGGCCCTTGTCCTGCACACTCCTGTGCCTTGATGGCTTTGGGTTCTCTGGGATGAATAATTAAGAATTATGTCCCCGTCTGAGCCATCCAAAGATAAAAGAGTGGGCTTTGGGAATTAGGGGAAGTAGTGAGTTTCTTGTCACCAGAGGTGCTCAAGCAAAGGATTGTGACCTCTTGGTTTTGTTGGAGTAGAGCACTGTTAAGGTCCCTTCCAATTTGTTACACATGTCACAAGCAGATGTGTAAGTGTGATTTCTGTCCATAAGGATGGCATCCGTGTTGGAGAACCTCCTATTTCTATTTTTCCCAGCTGGGGCGGCATGAGCCCTCCTACTGAATCCTGAAGGGTGTGGCAGCTCAGTCAGTTCCTGTACCAATCAGGTTTGTCTTGGGGAAGGTGGCCAGGAAACTTAGGCCTAAGGCAAGGGAGCAAGTCCTGTTGCCCATTTCCAGTGAACCCAGATCAGCCCAGGTGCTTTGCCCAAACTGTACCCACCATGCCCAGTCCTCCTTTTACAGGTTTTTCTTCATGGTGGAGCTGGAGACCATCTAGACCAGCATGCTCATCAACCCCTGCTGGTACCTGGATTCCCTGCAGTACCGTGTGCGGAAGAAGATGATAAGTTCCATCAAATCTGGTAAGGGGTTCTGGGAAGTGTTCGTGCCCAGGGAAGGTACTTTATGCTAGCACAGAGCTGCCAAGCTCCACTCTGTCAGGCTCTACCCATTCTCTCCACTGACTTCCCAGCAGGCCCTTGACCCTGGTCATCTCCCTCCTGCCTGATGGCTGCAGCCCCTCCTGGCAGACCACCTTCCTATACAGGCCCTGACCCTCTGTCCTCTTCAAAAAGAGAAATATTTCCTCTGTTCAGAAATGTAATGTGTTTAATGAAAGGCTTTCTTCATCCAAGGTCACCAAAGGACCACACATGGGGTGCTTTAAATGACAGAAACCCATTCTCTCATGGTTGTGAAGGCTAGAAGCTCATGCTTAGGTGACAGCAGGGCTGTGGTCCTCTGAAACCTGTGGCAGGGGCCCTCTGTGTCTCTTCTAGCTTCTGGTTTTGGCTGGCAGGCCTGGCTGCCCTTGGCCTGCAGCTGCAGCACCACACCCTCTGCCCTCTACCACATGGCTTTTCCCCTCATGTGTTGTCTCCATTCCCCTTTTTATAAGGGCACAGTCAAGATGGGTTCAGGTTCCACCCTGCTCCAATCTGACTTCGTCTAACTTTATTTATAGTAATAAATACAGTAAGTATTTATTACTATAACTGTATTTATAGTAATGCCCATTTCCAAATAAAGGCACATTCTGGGCCACTGGGTGGGGGCGATGATTTTCACGTATATTTTGGCCTTTACATTTGAACCCATGATTTCCATCAACCCATTGCAACTAGAACTGAGATGGTCATTTTGGGGCCCTGGGGACACTACCTGGTGTGGCAGGTTGGAGAGTATCAGGTTTGCTAACTGTCCCCCTTCTGCCCTCAGTGCCCTTCAGCTTCTATCCCAACACTGCAGCAGGCTGGCTCTCGGTGTCTGATGACCTCACCAGCATCACCAACCATGGCTAGCGCCTACAGGTGGAAAGCCAGAGTGCTTATCCTCAGCACCCTGCCTGCTGGGATCCTGCACCTTTTCTCAAGGATCCCATGCTTGAGAGGTGGCCCTGGGTGACCTGCAGAGCTGGCGGGTAGGTATGGTGGGGTGCAGCCAAATACAGGTGCAGAAGGCCACTCACACAGCTGCCACCATGACACATGCTCTTGCTTCTGGTACGTGTGCCACACGCAGGGTGTGGAGGGGGACCACTGTGTGACCTCGGACCCGGCCACCTCACCCCTGGTCCTGACCATCCCGCGCTGCCTACGTGTGGAGCTGGAGTGCGAAGAGGGTGAGCTGTCCTTCTATGATGCTGAACATAACTGCCACCTATATACCTTCCATGCACGCTTCTGGGAGGTGCGGCCCTACTTTTACCTTGGGGGTGTACAGGGTGATGGGCCTCCTGAGCCCTTGAGCATCTGCCCCTTGCGCATCACTATAAAGGAAGAACTGGACGTCTGAACTGGCCCAGGCCTGCTGGATGCTGTGCCGTGGGCCTGCTTTATTCCTACCTCTTCCTGAAGCCCATCCCCGGCAATGGCACCTCTGCCCACTACCTTATGAGGTGCCAGCATTCTCTGCCATTCTGTCTTGCCTTTTTCTGTGACTCTAGGCCCTATGCCTTTTCTTTATTTTTGGTCCCTTCTCTGTTCAGTTAAAAGCCATCCAGGAAGTATCTCACTGGGTCCAGGCTCTACCCAGAGTGTGAATTTTTAAGTCCTCATTTGAGAATTTCTGGAGAAAATGTTTATTTTTAGAACAGGCCTGTTTTAAAATGTAGGTTTTATTATTTTCCAGGTATGGTTAAACCAATTAATTAGGAGATGACTGCTACTGGAAAGAGTCTGTCACTCATTTCCCAGCCATGCCACATGGAGCCACACAGGGAAGCACTAGGGTCAGTCAAGATACAAAGGGGAAGAGGGGAAGGTGCTGGCAAAGCCTTTGTTGTGGTTTTCCTGGGAAGGAATGGGTGGGGCAGCGTAGACCAGGTGGACGCTCGCCAGTCTTGAGTAGTTGCAGTGGGTTCTGGCATGTGAGGACTGCTCCTCGTTTCTTGCACCTGCCTTAGGATGATTAGGACAGGAGATGTTGACTTGGCAGAGAGCCTGCTATAGGAATTGGTGTGATTCCATGGTCTAGGTTGGCTGGACTCACGAGAAAGGCAGCCTTCAGGCCTATTGGCTGCCTAGGCATTGACTAGCTTAAGAGCTGCAGTCACTCCAGTGCCAGAACATCAGGAATTCAGCAAAGAAGCAAACAGTTAGTGCAGGGCTCAGCTTAGCTACTACTTTATCTTACTAATTTAAAACTTGCACAGATCTTCCTGGGGGTCCTGTAAAGTAGGATGCAAAGCTGCCCATCTGTATCCATCAACTCCAGTTTATCTGGTTGTGCATCAAGAGCTAATCTCCTGAACTAAGAGCTCCAGAGCACTTAACAAAATTAAAATCATGCTGTGCACCTGTTCCCTCGCTGGGACTCACTTTCCTCATCTGTACAATAGACAGTGGGAATAGAAGACCATGTCCTTCTATAATTCTGTGGGGTGTGTTCTTCTGTGAAAGTATGAGAAGGGAAGGGAAGAGGTGCCTCCTCCAGTTACGAAGAAAGGAAGGGTGTGATCTGAGGGAGGCTGTTCGGAAGACAGGTGCTGTGCAGTGGGAAGGAAGGTAGTGTCCCTCGTCCTCACTGCCTCAGCTGGCTTGCTCCCTGTTGGGTTCCATCCTGTTTCTCCTCTCCACTGTAAACCTCCACCTTTCCTTTCGCATGCCTGCAAATGCTTTCTAATTTCCAGCTCACTGTGTGTGTCCTGGGAACTGGCAACATGAAAGGAGATACTGTCCCGTGGGTACCATGTTATAGTTAGGGGCACGTTCCAGCCTGGATTCCCCACTTTATAACAGCTGATGTTCTAAACAGCAATTAGGAGTCCTGGTTATAAGTGTGTTGTGCACATTGGTTATGTAACTAGTGGGGAGGGACAAAATGTGACATGCCACTGGGGCCAGTTGGCAGTTGGCAAATGAGCTCACATGTGTCAGATTCTCAGCCCCCACCACCCCCACCCCCCAAAAAAGAGCTCTAGGCACTTTGGGAACCAAGCAATTGTGAGTGTGTGTGCTCTGCTGGGGTTTAACCTGTCAAGTACAGATTCTGTATGATCAGCCTGACTTGTTGGTTAGAATAAATGTTTAAAACTATTTTCACCCAAGCTGTTACGAGTTTTTTTGTTTTGTTTTGTTTTAAGATATAAGATATTTTGGATAGCCTAGACCTTCTTTTCAAAGAAATAAAAATGATGTGCTTTTTCTTTTGACATTATTTCTTTCAGTGTTCTTGTAAGCCAGAGTTTTTCCATGTTGTAGTGTGTATTCTTATTGTAATATTCCGTTGTATGAAATGATGTACTGTGTTTTATTGTTCGCCAGTTGATGGGTATTTGGCCTGTTTCCACGTTTTGTTGGTTTTAAGTAGTGCTGCTTGGAACATCTGTATACAGATTTTTGTGTGGACCTGTCTCTCTTTCTCTTTGGGTCCACCCAGGCATAGACATGCTCTGTCTTATGGTGACTCTTCAAAACCTTTTGAGGAACCACCAAGCTGCTTTTCAGTGCAGCTGTACCCCTTTGACTGCCACCAGCAGTGTTTGTGGATTCCGGGTGCACAGCAACCTTGTCAGCACTGTGATCTGTGTTCTGACTTAGCCTTCCTGTGATGGTGAAGTGGTATGGCTTTGGCTTTGATGTGCATTTCCTTGATGCTGATACCGAGTAGCTTTTTCATGTGCTTATTGGCCATTTATATATCTGTTTGGGGGAACTGTCTTGAGCCTTTCCCCATTTTAGCTGGGTTGTCTTTATTGTTAAGTTTAAGGGTTCTCTATGTATTCTAGAGACTAGTCCCTTTGTCATATATAGAACTTATAAACTTTCCTCTTCATTCTAGGTGTGTCCATTCACTTTCTTGGTGACATCCTTTGAAACCCCCAGTTTTTTAATTTGGATAATGTCTAGTCTGTTTTTTTTTTTTTTCGGTTGCTTACAGATCTTAGGAATCCTCCTTTTGACACTGCCCTTAAGACCATCTAGCCTCGATTCTGGATATGCTCAGGGTAAGGTGGTTATCCTTTTGGCAGCGAGCCCCTCTCCAAGGGTCTTCCTTGAATACTCTCTCACCTGTGCCTCTTTCTTCCCATTCCAGCATCCACCCTGGAGGCACCAGCCCACTGTACACTGCCTATCTTATTCCCCTTTTGAATCCATCTATGTGCTGCCACCAGATGCACCATCTTTGGTCTCCAGTGGTCACCCAGAGTGGCCCCCACTCCTGACCTGCTCATGTGCATTTCTGCAATGCAGCTTTCTGAGCTCAATGTGGCTGGACTCTGTTCTACTGGGTGTCCTGGCTCCATCTCACATGTCTCCAGGCACACCTGGCTGTTATACACACTGCCTGGTACTCACAGGGCCATTTGTATCACAGTGACCTGCTTTTGGTTACTTGGACTATTCTGGTTATATTTGCTGCAACACCTGTGTGCACACTCCTTACCTGCCTGGGCTTATGTCCTCAACTGCAGATCTTCTCTAACCCCTAACTGTGTGCCCTTTAGATGGGAGCCTGGGAAGCAGACTTGTGAGTGCCAAGGCAAATAGGAGGAGAGTCCTCCCTGGCTCCTTGAACTTGCACATTGGCACCAGTGATCACTTGGTCATAACTCAGTGTGTAATAGCCATTTTCTTTCTTTCTTCTTGCTTCTGAAGGGTGAAGTTTTGGCAGAATGAGATTATTGTTGGTTAACTATCAAAATGGCAGTCTGGTGAGCCCCATGGTTATTAATGGTTCCAGGCTGGAGTGTTCCCAACACCTTAGAAAGATATTAACAGAACTCGGCCCAGTAGGCTTCTGCCTGCTTTGCCTCCATTTTTGTAGATCCTTCTCAGGGTTCCTGAGGCTGCTATTGCATGTTGCCCCTCCTTTGGAAGGCACCTGCCTGTCTTCTCTGCTTGAGTGCAGGGACCACATCATTTTCACCTTTGCTGTCCTAGGTCCAGGGATGTCCTGGGCCACAGTGGGCGGTTCTTGTGTGGATGCATCATGTCAATGACGGGTCATAAATACAAAGTAGGGGCAAGATAATATTGGGGCTGAAAAATTCTGATTAACATCTTTCTGTGCCGTCTCTGTGTTTAGATATATACAGTGTCACGGTGGCTGACAGTGCCACTGCAGTAGCATGCACACAGTTTTGCAGCCTTGGAGCAGGGGGCTGTACCACACAGCCCAAGTGTGCAGTAGACTATTCCGTCGAGGTTTGGTAAGCATACTCAGTGTTCACAGTGACAAAGTTGCTGAAGAGTGCACGTCACAGAACATATCTCTGTCACTAATCAACATGCGACCTTTTGGAGGTATGACCTGCAGGTCAGGCAAGCTGTCTTCAACCACACCACAAAACTACCAGCAGCATTTGGTAAGGCACAAGGGTCAGGATCCTGGACCCAGATTCCAACCCTGTGATGGAGAAGTTATCTGAGGCTTTTGGACATCTGTTGCAAGTAGAAAGAGGATGTTAGTACCTGCCTCAGGCTTCTCAGGGATCCAGTGAGGCAGACTTTGGAAAAATGCTGAGTATTCCACCCTAAACCTAGTATAGGCTTATTACTGTTGGCTAATTCTTCAGCAAATGGGATGTTCTGCATGTTGAAATTCTGATTCACAGTCATGATGAATTCCAAAAAACAGTGAGAAGCTGAGATTTGGAAGTTATGTTGGGAACTCTTACTTTCCTTCAGATTTTTGACAAGAGTATGTCTATACAACTTAACATTTGTGAAAAAGATTCAATAACGTGGAAAAGTGGTTGTAGTATCCAAGAAAAATAGGTTTCAGAGTTAAACATACAGACCTGGAATGCTCTTTAAAAAAAAGGCAAGCAGTAATTTGCCTTTAATTTGTGTGTGTGTGTGTGTGTGTGTGTGTGTGTGTGTGTGCATGGTGTGTGCTCTCGTACATGTGTGCTTGTGTACGTTTGATAATCTGTTTACATGGCAATAAACCCAAAGGTACAAAATGTACTAGAACAATCTCACACCTCTGCACATTCAGCTCTCCTAGTAGGCAGTCCCTCCTATCAGTGTTTTTTCTCTTTACAGAGAGATTTTGTGTATGGCACATAGCCTATAAGAGTATTCTGCCCCTCCCTGCCCAGCACACTATAATTAAAATGCAGATTGTCCCATACTGTATCTCTAAGCAACCCAGCCACGAGGAGAAAACTTCAAGCATGTTATTAAAATATTTTTCCCTTCTCAAGGGGGGGGTTTGTCTGGGATGTTTTCATGCACTCAGTTCGATTGGTGGATTTTACTTTAGGTTTTTGTGTAAATATTGCATTATAATTGGTGTTTAAAACCAAGAAGAGAAAAGCTAAATGGAAACCTTAAACCTAATACTTCAACATAAATTTTTAAAAATCTCTATCCTCCCAAATATGTCCATTGGTTAAGAGGCTGGATATGGGATTGGATGCCCAGAGTTTAAACTGATCACCACTGTGACCCTGGGGAGAGACAAGCCCTCTACCTCTTGGTGTCATGATGTGGAAAAGACCTAATAGTTCTTGTCTCTTAAGTTGGTTATAGACTTTAAGGGAGCAAGTGTGTAAAACTCTGGAAGTTGGGCAAACACTAGTAGCCAAGTTCTATATCTTTACTCCTGGCCCTGCTCCTTACATAGCTGCAAAGCTTTGGTAGAGCATTGAACTTCTGTAAACAGGGCAACTTGGACACTTGCATGGTTTTCCTCAAGTCAACCCGTGTCATTGGCAAGAGCTGTGTGTCCCACAGAAGAGAAGACAGCTGCTTACCAGTATTCAAAAATCTAGGTATGGTACCAGAGGCTTTGCCTCATGTTTTCAGCCTGGAAAAAAAAGAGTCATAATGTTTTAGGCATAGCAGAAAATTATAGAGAGGAACAGATCTTTATTACTCATTGTATCATACACAATGAAATTGTGTTGTCAAGTTCCAAAATGGTTTATGTAGCTGTATGCATGAGATTAAATATGATGTCAAATACTGACTCATGCCCAGAGAAGGTGATCTTAATGATAGTGATTTGGATTGGACAAGACAATCATTAGTGATGGGAGAAGCTGAGCTTATTAATATCTCCCTTCAGGTTTTAAGAAAGAAGAGAACTTTGTGCCCTGGCCTGTCCCACCTACTCCTTTCAATAGTAACCAGAGGGTGGGAAGACAGGTCAGTAAGGACTGAGTCTGATGGCAAGGGAAGCCTTCCTGCTCTAGGGTGTTTGTCCTTGTTTGTGGTTGTTGCTCTGGTGGGTTTCCTTTGCCAGGGAGCAGGCTGAGGAAGATAGGAGATTTGGTTTCTATGGATACTGGCTGGCTTGGATTTGCATAATGTAGTGCAGAGAACAGACAGTCTGGGAACACTGTAGACCAGGGAGGAACACAGAGGCACGTGGAAATGAGTTAGAGAGCCAGGGTAGCCAGGCTCCATTCAGTCTTCTTCTAGGGAAGGGAGTCTGTCCCTCCCTGCTCCCTGAACAGCAGCAGCATGGAGCCTGAGGATGGAGGGAGGCATGACACACACTGGGCTAAACCAATCCAGGGATTTTCTGCTTCCTCCCCTAAACTCCACTACTGGCAAAGGCTGCTCTTCCATTACCACCTGCTGTGCGGACCTCCAGTTTACTCAGAAGGCATTCCAAGTATGTTCTATTTTAATCCTTGCTTCCAGCCAACCACCATTTGAGACAGGTGCAGGAAGCTTATCAAAGCCCCATGAGTGATCTCTCATAAAGCCAGACCTTAAATACATCTCCTGGAGTTAATATCCCCAGATCCCAGCACACCTTCTAGGCTGTACACCAGTAAATGTGACCTAACTGGGACAATTCAGTTTGAGAGTCTGACCTTAGGTAGGGAGTGTGGGATAAAGAGGAGAGATGCTATTGGAAATATTGAAGGAGGGTGGGATTGCCAGGCTGTGTCATGGACAGAGTGCTCTAGGTGATGAAAGTTGGGAGTTTGGTGGCTGTCAGGCTTCTGGCTTGAGTGACTGGTGGTGGCTACTGAGGTAGGGACTAGAGGAAAGCAGGTAAGTTTGTGCTGTCCTTGTGGAACTTTCAGGTGGAAGCCTGGAGAAGGCCATTGGTCACAAGAGCACTGTAACTCAGGGTCTGGGTGTGAGGGAACAGGGTCAGGAGCCATTGGTACGTGGTCTTATTGAGGTCACAGGAGTTTGGGCTCTCACATGGGAAGTTAAATAAGGAGATGGACAAAAACCTAGGGAGCAATGACCCTTTAAGACGTATGCCAAGGGTTTGGTTAGAGAAATAAATTGAAGGCAGTGCTGGAACCCAAAGAAAGTGATGTGATAAGGAAAACAAAATGACAGTAATGACAAAAACCATGTTGAAGGTAGAAGGGAGTGAGCTGCTGGAGAGCCACATGAGACAGAGCTGGGAGATACTTCACTGACTCCACTGTAAGTTGGTGTGTGTGGTGGACGGCCCTGGGGCAGCTGTTCCCAATTCCAATGAAGACAGATGAAAACCCTTGTCCCCCACAAAAGTGGTAGATGTCCAACATATTGGCAGAAATTGGGAGGAATCCCCTAACTATAAAGCCATGGGAGATGGAGTTTTAGCACCCACCGGGAAACAGACCCATGCCCACTTCTGCATCCTGAGGAGTGGGTGCTACTGAGGTTCTGACATTAGATTTTGGGATTCCAGCAAGGTGGTGGTTTTTGTGTTGCAGAATTGAATCTATAGGTTAGTCTTTGGAGTCTTCCCTATGGTTCTCAGAGGGCCTGGTCTCAGCAGTGGGAATGAACAGGAAAGGACATCGACACTAGGTGACAGAGAAGCTTGCTGAGATTTATGTCTGTTGAGTGTAAACAAAGGAAGCAACCCCTCAGGTTGAAAGTGAATTTGGGAAACAAAAATTTAGGTTGTGGAAGCCAGCCATTCTGCTCACTAGAAAGTGACCTCCTGGTGGTTGAGGTTAGGGTCACGGCATCATTTTAATTGGGGGAGTTTCCGTATGTGTCTTAACTCTACTGATCCCATGCTATCTTTTTTAAAATTATGTTTTCACTTTATCTGATACATAAAAGTTGTACCTATTTCTGGGGTGCCAGGTGATGTTCAATAGATGCATACATTGTATTATTTCAAATCAAGGTAAGAATCTCTCTCTTCAAACATTTATCATTTCTTTGTGGGGAAAACATTCAAACTCCTTTCTTCTAGCTTTTTGAAATGGACATTATACATCATTGTTATCTATGGCCACCCTACTACGCATGGCACAGCAAAGCTGCTTGCTCCTGTCTAAATGTGACTTAGTCCCCCTTGGCCAACCTCTCCCCATCTCCTGCCCTCACTCTCCACAGCCTCTGGTAACCACCTTTCTACTCTCCACTTGTATGAAATCAACTTTTTGTCTGAACTGCTTTTTTAAGTGGTCAGGGATACTGTTTCCTTCTGTTTGTCTTGCTGTACTCATTCAGTTACTGCAAGCCCAAAAAAACGGTGGTCAGAGGAGAGAAAACCAACAATCACATCTTGTATCCTGGGAGGTATAATTCTTTCAAAGCAGTAGAACAAAGATAGGAAGAACCCTTACCAGTATGCATGCAGGTCTGTAGCTTACAGCTGGCTATTTAAGTTTTATTTATTTATTTTTTTTAGTTTTAGGTGGGTACAACATCTTTATTTTATTTTTATGTGGTGCTGAGAATTGAACCCAGTGCCTCACACATACTAGGTGAGCACTCTACCACTGAGCCACAACCCAGCTCCTTATGTTTTATCCTCATCAGTCTGCTTTTCATAGTTGTGAGAGCTGTAGACACAGAAGATCCCACCTCCAGACAGATCACACTACTTGATGCTGAGCGGAGCTGGGAAGGTACTGAGCATCCACCTGCCCTCAGCCCTATGCATATCCTCATCTGATGGGTCCTACTGATGGCCAGTGGGTTTATCTTTTGGTAAACCAAACTCATTTTTATTGTTTTGCAAATAACTAAATTTTTGTTGTGTTGTTTGTGCCATCCTGGTTAGGAGAGTTTACTTTGTAAATTTATTTTGAAGATAGAAGGGAGTGAGCTGCTGAACATTCCAGACACAAATCATAGAAAGAAAGTAAGAAATTCACTTACTTCACTTTTACAAAGTAAAAAAAAAAAAAAAAACTTTGTGCTATCCCTGAAGGCCAATAGAGGGAGCACCTAAAGAACTGTAACAAGCCAGAAACTGGGAAAGAAACATGGAGACAAATTCAGGCAGAATTGCCAGAAGTTGGGAGAGGGGCTTTTCTTTTCTTTTTAAGAAAGAAAAAAGATGGAAGGCCGAAAATAAAAATCAATTTCAAAAATCCGAACAGTGTGGAACTAAAATAATGGGTACAATTAGATTCAAATTCATGGGACACATTCCAAATTACAGGATACAAAGTAAATTCTAACATCCAGAATGGCACAAACAAAAAACAAAAATTTAGTTATTTGCAAAAGAATAAAAATTAGTTTGGTTTACCAAAAAATAAATAAATGGGGAAGAAGGCATAGAATCTTGAGCAAAGATTGTGAATCATTGGAATTTTATACCTAGACGAGTTTTGTGAAGACAAAAAGAAAAAAAAAAGATTTCAAATATGTAAAGGTTCACAAAATAAAACTGCCAATGAACTGTACTTGGAATAATTTAACTTTGTCAAAAAATATTTCTTAAAAGAAATGATGTATACTGTTAAGTATAATTTAATAACAATGATCTGATTAGATAACTTCAGGTCATATTAACCAGACCCTGAACATTTGGAGGCAAGGAAATTATAGTTTCTAAATTACTTCACAAAGAGGAAAAATATTTTGTTTTATTCTGTACTCTGATGCTGAAACAAGTATTCACTGAACATTTATTTTAAGTGAATATTAAAATACTGAGAGACTTTTAAAATAGCACAGTTTACTTCTAAAACAGGAAAAATATAAAAGAAAAAAGAGTACATGCATTAAGACTGACTTCAAGTAAATAAAGAACCACAAAATAAAGTCATTGCTGCTATGCCAACAAATAAACAATTTAAAAATGTTCTTATTTAAAAACTAAGGTTCTCAAATTAGAGTTTTAAGACAAATTATAATCAAGTGTTTACAAAAATACTTCAAACTAAATGACCAAATGAACCACAGTAGCAAGAAATTTGGTTCTGAACTATACAGAGCCAAATACAAAGAAAACAGGATTGACAATAATTTCAGATAGGAATTCAAAGTGGAATATAAAAGGATTTTCTTATTTAAAAAAATACCAAAACATTTATTTTAATATATATTAAATATATATTTTATATAAAATATAAATATTTGTATGAAATATATTTATTTTATATATTTATTTATGTATTTGTATTCATATTTATATATAAATATGTATTTATATGATGTGAATCATTGGAATTATATATATATATTTGTCACATATGCACTGCAAACTTGCTGGTGTAATTATTGCCAAGAAACTGAAGAGATACAATTGAAAGCATATTAGAACTACCAAAAAAACTGGTAAAGTGAAGTCTAAATCATGTTTATTTATAAATTAATACTTTTTTTCTGAGCCCAATTTTTTATTTGGTCTCTTCTTACATTTGTAATACTCTTTGATGACACATTTGACCTCCCAACAAGCCCCACTGGCTGGTGACCAGGCCTTTAGCATATGGGGGACATTCACAATCCAATTCAGAACAAGGCATAACTCTACCTATAATTTTGTTTCTAAAATTAGGTTAAGTGACTTTCAATTTAATTTGGAGTAACAAGAAAAGAAAGCTATCCAAAATATTTTAGGTAAAACGACAATTTCACTAAACTTGTATTTAAGATAATTTATACACTGGCACAAGAAAAATGCACAAAAGAGCCTTCCTTGTTCGTGACAGACCTAAAATAGGAGTGGAAAATAACCCAAATAACCACCAGTAGGGGAAGACTTAAGTGAATTATTACATATGATGGAACACTATGAAGCCACTTTAAGAAAACAAAAATTTAAGACATGAAGAAATGTTTTCTCAACTAAAGCCAAACATAAAACTAGCCGGTGCAATTCCACTTTGTACAATCTATCATATTTTTGAAGGGAGGGAGTAGTCAATATTGTTTTCCATGGATGTTTGGGGAAAGTTTGCTTGTACACCAGTTTTGTTTTCCTCTTCTTC